TTATTTTTATTATTATTTTTATTTTTCCCCCCGCCCCCGCTTTCCGCTGCCCCTCAGGCTGAGGCGTTTTGTGGCGCGCTCCGCAGAGTTTCCATTGCGGTGGGTGAGTGTGAGCGTGTGCGCGAGTGTGTGTGTGTGTGTGTGTGTGTGTGTTGGAGAGATTAGGACGAGACTTGAATATTTATGAGCCTCGCTGGAAACTGCCTCGCAGTGTTTACTTGCCTCTTTGTTCCTTACCCCCCTCCCTCCCTCCCTCCCTCCCCCGGCCGCACACTGCCATACATTTGAAAAAAAAAATCCATTAAACTTGAAACAGTTGCTAATTCCTCCTTTTTTTTTTTCTTTTGTTTGTTTGTTTGTTTGTTTCCGGGGGGGGCGTTTTCTTTGTTTTTATTTTTTATTTTTTTCATAGAAACTAGTTGCACAGATGAAGCAAGATCCACAGGTAAATGCAGATCCGTGGTTTTTTTTTTTTCCTTTTTTTTTTTTTTTCTCCCCCATCTTTTTCAGTTATTTTCTCCCTGCTGTAATAAGTGCAGTTGTGCTGGGACAGCAGGATGAGAAACTTTATCAGTAAGAGATCTCATTTTGTAGCCGGCGCCGAGCTTTTCTGCTAAAGAGGGTGTTTTGTGTGTGCATGCTTTCGGGCGGCTTCGGTGGAAGGGGTTTTGCCTGGGAAACGATTTCTAGATCGCAAGTTTATGCGTTGCAGGGGCGAGTTTGCACTTTGCCTTTAATATGCATCTTATTGCCATTTTTGCAGAACGGGGATCTTAAGAAACAAATCCATGAAAGGCAATCAAGAATAGCAGCTCTTAATGACAAACAAGTAAGGAACGGATCGATTGAGTTCTGTTCGGTTTCTTTTCTTATCTTTTTTTTTCCTTTTTTTTTTTTTTTTTTTTTTTCAATGCACTTTCTAAACATCCGAAAAGTGTCTGCGTTCGCTGAAAAGATACCGGCAGCGGAGGATATAACATCCATTTTGCTGGGCAGAAAGTGAGGAAATGCATGTTTTCAAAATGAGGTCGGATTCCTGGATGTCTTGCTGGGGGAAAAGAATGATTTTTAGTACGAGCACTAAAAAGATGAGCAGTAGTTAAAACGTTTTCAAAAAAAAAAAAAAAAAAAAAAAAAAAGAGGCGTCCATTTTGAGTTGGTCGACATGTTTTAGGAATATGGAAAATTCTCCTGTCTTGGGCTACTTTGTGCACTTCCGCGTAATGTGCAGAGTAAGAGTTGGGAACAAGGAGGCTGGAGCCCAGTTCGGAGCCATTTCTGCTCTCGATTGCAAAACTGGCTTTTATTGATCACTTTATTTCTTTT